CAAGGATTTGTGATCTAGCAGTGCTTTTTAAAGGCACTTGCATTTATCCTCTATGCATCAAACTGCTCTAAGTCAATTCCCCGAGACACTTAATCTTTTGGCAGATGGAAACTCATTTTGAAAGTGCACTAATGATCAATTAAAGCATTAGCTGTCTCTACAGACAGGAGGTTTATGGGGTCACAGTCTTCAGAAGCTGCAGGCAAGAGCAGCAGTATGTTACCAAAATAGCTAAAACTTTCTGTAGTTACTACAAAATTGGCAAAACATTGGAAAACAAAAACCATGACTTCAGTCTTTTTTTTTTCATAATATGTTGAAAACAAATTGATGGCTTCTATTTTACATGAGAGGCCATGGTCCAAACTGGACGTAGGCAAATTTTTAAATTTTTTTAATGAGCCCTAATAACAATCCCAATACTTCCAATAAATTTACATTATCCTTTGAAAATTGGAGTCATTCAGACTACAGTCACAAAATATATAACCCATGCTGCAAATATGCAGAGCTGCCATCAGAATCAGTGACTCACTGGTAGATAATGCATCACTTTGCGCATGCTCAAGGCCTCACAATAAGGTCTGGAGTCAAGACGTGTACTCTGCCCAGAAGTTTCTCTGCAATTTGATGTACATAAGACCAAACAGATGTAACTGTCACATTCATAAAAGAATTTAAGATTATTTCTCTAGGAGTTTGGCAAGCCATTTCTTCTTGAAGAAAATGCACATAATAGTGATTAGCCATCTAATATAAACTAAAAAGTTTGCTTTTTACGATATGACATATCTAGTATGACCACAGGTTCCTAATGCTAACATTGATGAGTGAATCAATACTTATTTGATTCTCTCCATAAAGTTCTTTGCCAGCAATTTACTTTGTACAAAGGTAGAATAATAAATAGAACATATTTTCTTTCAGTGAGAGTAAAAATGCATGAAGTTGCCTACTAAAAATCTGCAGAAAACTAGCAATGTTGTGCATTTTTAAAAAAAAACACATATGTAAGAACTTATGAGCAGGGAAGGCTATGACACTGAAGACATAAGCACAGATAGAATATACTACTCAGTGCTATCCTCAAAAAGTTCAGCTTCCACATCAAGTTCCACATCTGCTTGCGGAACCTTACTACATGGACTCTCCTCCAGGTGTAAGCACAGGGAGATAAAGAATTAATGTGTCATTTAATTTAGTAAGTGTTGGGAACAGATCTCTCTAAAAAGTGGTGGTTTTGAAAGAGGCATTTCTACTCTCTATAAAAACCAAACATTAGTAAGAGTTCAAAAATTAGGCAGTGCTCCTTAGTTTACCAGTTCATTTTTAGCTGGTGAGCTACAGCAGTGTTAGTATCCATGCCTCCATATTTTGAAATTTGGCACATTAGCTATTATTCCCCCACACTTTGATACAAGAGTGGAATAAAAAAAAATGGGAGTGCATAAGATGACAGTCTATTTATGACCATTTTCAGAGTACTGAGAGATCCTTTGCCACACTCACAACTTTTGAAGGCAAAACAGTATCCATCACCACATTTTAGACTTCAAATTTAGAGCACAATAAAGTCCTGATAGCAAATACATTATGTAAACACTAGAGAGCATTTCACATTAAACTAGCATACCTCTTTCACCTCGTAATTCAAAACACCTTGCTTTGGTAGTAAAAAGTAGCAATAATCAAGAAGGGACACAACTACCTTCATACAGCAACAGCCTCTTTCTTTTACAGCAAAGCAGGGCAAAAATTCTAGGTCTTAGCTAAAAAATTCTGAGACTTAAGCAAAGGTGTTTCTAGGGGGCAGGAGAAAAAAAATAAATAAGTGAAGGGTGACAGAAGAGCTACAGCTCCCCCCTCCAAACTGCCTGCTACTACATTGCAAAGGCAAAATGTTACAGGATGACTCAGAGCCAGGAACTCCAGGCATGTCAGAAGGGTAAGCCTCTAAGTTACTCCCCAACTACAGAGCACTCATGTTGGCATGCTACCAACAGGACAAGCTGCAGAAGAGTTGGGCCAATACCACTGAGTAGGGAGGGTATTGTAGGCACAGCAACCACACAGTCAGTGCCTGCACAGAATGGCAGCACTGAGCCAGATACCGACTGCAGGGTATTTGAATGCAGAATGGTCTCCTGCTCCAGGTGATACAGATCAGTATCACTTTTGATCAGATATAGATGACCCAAGACCTGATTACAGCTGGAGTGTTATGCTGGAGCCCTTTTCTATCGGTCACAGAGATTGCAGTTTCTGAGCACCCCAATATCCTTGAAGAACCACATACATCTTCAGTGGCAGACCAGGAGGGCACTCCTAACTCGTTTTACCTGCAAGAATCAAGCAAAATAGGTCAAGCAGGGGTTTAACACAGTAAAGCAGAACATAGGTAAACTTCAGATATCTAAATACAAAACTAACTTAAAAAGTGACCCATCTTTAGTGAGTGTCTGCATTTTTCCTTATGTATGTGCACAAGGTTAACCTCGGTTTGAGATTTTGGTTTCCAAAATTCTGTTTCAGCTTGACTGGGACTGGGAACCTGATGTCACTGCAGAATTCCTTGACGGGGCCTGCTCAGGATATTTCTTCACTTTCTTGAGCTCCATGAACTCTCCACACCTTTCTATGCTTATAAAGAAATTATATAAATGTATTTATTTATGCATACTCACATACTTCCTTTAATATAGCCTAAACGACAGTTTTTCAGTTAAAACATCCTTCCTAAGGATTTAAAAAAAAATCAATTTAAATTACTGTTTTTCAAGTATATATCAGAATTCTAATCATTCTTCTGAAATGACACCCATCTCCTGAAAAATAGCAAACTACCAACATCCTGCATTAAATAACCCAGGCCTAAAAGCAAAAACTCCTGTTTACTTCCTTAAGTCTTACTGATTATAGAAATTAATTACTTTCATTGACACTTCTAGGATTTTTTTTTTAATTTTTTTTTAATTTTCTCACATTCCTCTCAAATTAGCCAGACTCTGGATGAATATATTTGTTGTCATATGCTCTTATTCTGAGAACTGCTGGTTTGGTAACAAACACTTGAATTTAGTCCTTGGGTTTTGGTTCTGTATTCACCTAAAAAATGAGTAGTATATATTCAAAGATGTAATGATAGTTAAGTTGTAGTAATAATACAATAATATATAATAAATGTATCAAATATATAACAAGATTATAGTTGTAACAGACTACAATCTCATATGACACATGCAAAATAATTCTTACAGCTGAAAGTATGATCACCAAAGTTAAGAAAAGTATATTTATTTGATTCTCCTTTTACTTTGATGACAAAGTAGAACATTTCATTAACAGTAGCACAGAAAAGAACAATTTTGAATCTATGGAAGATGGAACATAACAGGACACAGTAAACACATGAAGTGACATGTGACAGGTTTCACCAGATTTAGCAGCAATAACAAATTTCCATAATGCACTCAACATCACACTGCCAAAACCAACCAAGCAAACTCATTCTTTTGAAGCTTCTGAAGTACCCTCTACAGTGGTGTACTCTTTCCATATCTAGTTGCGAGAAACACAGAATCCTCAGTATATCAAGTTACCAAACGCATAAACCAATCAAAAAAACCAGAAACCCAAAAAAGAAAAAAATCCCCCCCAAAAGCAGTAAGCCTAAATCTTTACTGTTAGAACAGAGAAGCAGTTCCTTCATTATCCGATATACTTCATGCAAGGTCACACACTTCTCATATACCTTATACATATGCTGCCTACTCAGATGAAATTTTTTTCTTTTCCTATTTATCATTTTTATATATATATACGCGTGTGTGTATATACATATATATATATATATACATATACACAGATATATATATATATATGAATCACTAGAAAGGTGAAAAAGGAAGGAGCAAAGCAAATATGGCAAGAGCGTGGTTTTCCTCTTAGGATTCTAGACTTCTGGGTAATATCTATTCCTACCATGCATGACAGTTGTCTCTGAAGTGGGGACCATTTAGAACTCTAAAGTATGAAAGCTTCCCTGACTAATTTTTTCCCAAAGGGGAAGTTGGGAGTTTCCCCTCAAGGAAAAAAAAAGAAAAACAAAGAAAAAAAAAAAAAAAAGAAAAGAAAAAAGCTTCCAGTGTCAGACTTTGAAAATGAATGTACAGCTGTTTCCCAGTTAAGGCTGGGAAGCTTTGTGAAGGCAGCTTCCCCCATCTGAGAAGCTACAATGTGATATTCTCTTACTCCTTTCCAACGTACTGAGCCATGCAAATTTAAAGCTATTACAGTGGAAGACTTACAGAAAAAGACAGTTTCCCTTATTAAGCATAAACATTAATCAAAGCTTTAAGCCACACAGCATTAACACGCATCACTCTAAGAAAACATTCAAATCAACCTTATTTCTTGGCATTTTTGATACCCTGTTAGCCAAGTTATATACACAGCTGTGATATGCCTCACTATAATCAATCACATGTGACTGTGTAGTCATACACTCTTGTGCGATTCCACTTTATATAAAAAAAACATGCTATGGTACAGTTGATGAAGCCAAGATGCCAAATACAGATGCACTGCATGAGGTTCTTTAAATAAGGCTTGTCTCTGTACTGAATGCATTACATGACACATGTGAAAGACATGAAAACACTAAAATAATACATTTTCTTACATCAGAAAACAACCTTTGAAATACCAAAATAAATAGCCATTAAATATTATCTCCTTTTAGAAATGCTTTAAAAGTGACACTCATTTCCTGATTCTAACAGATGTTCTTCTGTTCAAAGATAAATTGCAGATTAAAGCATGAGTATATTCTCCTGTTCAATTTAACATACCTTTAAAATATTCATACTACACTATACTTCCTTTAACTGAATGACCTCAACTGAAATTTTCTGAGGAAGATGTAACTCAATAAGTAAAGTGCCCCTGTGAAAACAAATACATGGGTTTATATTGTTAATAACACATGCAGTTTGAAACAATCCAGATCTTTTACCCTTTATTCATCATTGAGGTATCCAAACACGTTAACTATGTGATTTATGAAATTTCCAGTTTTCACTAATGAAGTAATACTCAAAACTTCAGTCGGAATCAGAACTGTAATGTATCTGGTGCAGCACTGAAGTCAGGAAATGAAAAGGCGGCAAGCTTATGCACAATCTGAGCCAAAGTAAAAAAGGTTCCCTAGTTTTTAAGAAAATTAAGATACATGTTTTTGCTACTATAACTTTATTATTCCATTTGAAACACCACAAAGCATTGGTGTGCTTAACAACAGATTTCCCCGTCCTCCCTTCCCATTCCCAAAGAACAGTGGTAATCATGAAAACGACAGCTGCAGTGAACTTCCATTTCAAGTCCTGGTATTCACTTATCCTTTGTCTAGGAGGAAAGTAGTTACTTTTTGAATACACACCACAGGAGCAGTTATGAAGTCCAGCGCCACCAAGCTACCTTTGTTCTGTCCCACACAGCGGAGAGAGAGTCCAACGCAGGGCGCACATCGAGGATGGTGAACTGGTAGTTCTTATCCACTGCTCCGCCATCATAGTAATCAATAACGTAGCGCACTTCTTTTCCACACCGGTCAACAATCCAATCATGTCTGTCAAAGGGTAGTTCATATCTGGAAAGATGGATAGTAGAACACGTAGGTATTTTAACGGATATTATGAACCTGGGAGAGGGAGTGGAAGTCCTATTTAAGATTTATTTATCTGTAAGATCCCACTAGTACTTCCATCTTCTGGCAATTCTAACTTCCAATACCAGTTCTCAAACATCTTACAATTAATTCTACACCACATTTTCAAACATGTTTCCCTAACCTCCCACCTCCCTGGAAGACCTTTCCTGCCCACATACCCCATCCATGAACGTATTCTGGCTCTTGGTGAATACTCCTTTGCTTTGCCTCCAAACCGCATCAGTGATGGTCCACACGGACACTCCCTGCGCACACAATTAAAAAGGAAAGTAGTTTTTACCTTTAAAAGCAGTCTTATTTTAAGTAATTAAACCACTACGGTAATTTGTTTTAGTAACAGAGAAACTGAATAAAAGAAAGAGCAACAGTAAAAAAGTAACTCCAAGTGATCTAAAACAGCTTTTTTTTTTCTTTAAAGGTCTGAAAAGTCACCCAGTTTCTGCCAGCACTTTCTGCTGGTATAATAAAGTACCTCTGATATGCTCCATACCATTGTTCTAATTTGTCAACAGAGCAGTTCTCAGCAAATCTAATCCACAGATTTAATAGATTAAAGAACAGAAAACCATAATCCAAAAATCATAAAATTTCAGAGAAAAATTTATACATACAGGATGCTTAACTAGTTTGTCTCTTGCAGGAACCAGGGGCTATGCTGATCTAAAAACTGACAGTTTGCTTTACACCAGTCACTGCTAATCTAAGTTTATGTCTCATATCTTTGTCATAACACAATGAAAAATATTTCATATGTAACATTTCATATGTACATACGCAGCATGAAGAGCTTCCCACTTCAAAATCTCCTTCCAAGCTTGTTCATTATTTTGGTTGTGAATCTTAATGATGTTGGTCATGTCTTCACTTGTTATGTCGTCATCTTTCCATCTCCACCTAAAAAATAAGAACTTGAAAACAGTTTATAAGCATTACAGCATAACTACTGCACCTTCCTCACTTTATCTGGTGGACTTTGGAATCAAGATTTAAGGTTTTATGCAAAGACACAAGACAAGTATTTGAACTTCTGGCTCATCTGTCTAAGCATCATGAGAATCACTTAATCTTCTGTGCAAAAATGTAGTTATCAAAGTTATCATCACAGAGATCCACAAATTCTACATAGCTAAATTAAAAGCTTAACTGGATCAGAAAGTTATCAGAGTGTGCAAACATCAGCACATCCACAGGATTCATAAAAATGCTTAGGAAAAATCCCACTTGCATTCCTAATGCACAGAAGTCCTGTATTCAATACACTTAGTATGCTTAGAAGTGCCTTTCATCTCTCTTGACCCTGCACTGTGACTATACAAAAGAATAAGAGAACAGTAGCACAGGAGGCTTTTTAGGCCACAGGAGACATTAATCATTAAATTAGGTCTTGCCTACACTAAATTTCTTAAAATACTGAAAATATCTACTAGTAAATTTCCACATTTTTAGCAATTCTGCAAAGTCAAGTTAGTTGTTCTCACAATCATATCACTTCTACTATCAGTTTATAGGCCTAGAGTGAAGCCAGCCGAGTTTGAAAGTTAAATCTTGCAAACTTGGTTTATGCCTATCCACAGACTTTTAAGAAAATTTTCTGAGCCAGTAGCAGTTGCTTGACATTCCCTAACATCCTCCTGATCACTAGAAGGGACATGGCCTTTGAGATCAGCTCACCCTTTAAAATAAACATGTTTATAAAATAGTACTTTTTTAAAAGAGCTAGTTAATTATTTACTGGTTAGAATCCACAAACTCTTCAAAAATAATAACTAATGATATTACTTAATGAATTTCAGGCTCACAGACTCCATCTTATAATTCACAGTGTATTTATTTACCCTTTTCTTAGCATAGCATTCCAGAACATTTGCTCTGAAGGGTAGACCCATTTCTTGTCAGAATGTGCTCTAGGAATAGAAGATTCTTCTCTAACAGTTGACAACGGAAATGGTTGACCTGGGGATGGCTGCTGATTAGGAGGAGGCATCTAGAAAACAAGAAGAATCAACAACAAACTAGAGTATTAATATTTTTTATGTTACAGTGTTTGAGAAAAATCAAAATATGAGCAATCAGTCCTTAAAAAGATCAAGACATTCACCCTTTATTTAATTCCATCAAAATTATCTTTTTTGCAGTAAAACTGTTTGCAAAAGTTTGTCATTGGAAGACTAAAGGAATCCTTTTTGCCTAAACTTCAACTTCCAAAAGAGCAATGCTTTTTGTAAACCAGAGGAAATCTTGGAGAGATACTAATAAGAACTTACCCATACTGCTATTAAACAGAACCTAAAATCCACCAACGTAGCATAAAAAACATGTATATAACTATTAAATGGAGAGTAAAAGGTATTTACAAACTGGAAAACCACCTTTTATCAAAGAGGTGTAAATTTGAAGACAATGTTAAACAAGATGTAACTTGTTTTTATATAAAAATTTGCACTTGAAAAGAAAAAAAAGCAGCATTTAAAATAAAAAAAAATAGTGCTACTTGCCAGACTTTCCACCTTAGACAGTATCACTATTTACATTTGTGGTAGAGTATTTCAGAAAAAACAAGACTAAAGAAAACATCTGAAATAAGTAAAAATTACCATATTGCTAGGATCTATGTCATCTTTCACTTGAGATGAACCAGACTTCACAGGACATGCTACAAACTCATAAGCTCTTTCTTGATGTGCAGGAACATCATCTGTGTTCTCAGTTCTCTGATCAGCAGTTTTCATGTGCATTGGACAACCTGAAACACAGGAAAAATAGTATGTATTTTGATACAAAATGAAAACTCTTAAGACATGACACGAAATGGGACATTTCATTGAATGCTCAAGGAAATGCAAGTGGCTATTTCACTTTTTCTTCTGAGCTTTGCAACAGTTTTAACTTTTCTCTTTCCTGCATTTTAGGACTCAACACCATGGTAAGATCTGAGCTTCCTGTGTATCCTTGAATGCTCATTTCCTACCCCATGCTGGCCCCTATATTGAATTGTCAGTACCTAAGATTTCCTCAGCAATGTTAATCCAGAATGTGTTGACTGTGTCACCAGAAAAATGGATGTCCTCCTCCAGACATTCTTCTGATTCCACCTTTCCGCTGCCCTTTTCTAGATGCATGTTTTTTAGTGACATCCACCTGCTTCCAGTTACCATCTCTGCAGGGGCTCCCTGGCCCTTTGTGGGTGTACCACACCACAGGAACAGATCTGCAGGACCCCTCTGAAATGGGACAACTGGGAATGACCCACAGGTTCTACAACAACCACCTCCCATCTCTACAGACACAGTACCTTGTACACTGTTCTGGTGAACAACTGCCTCCTATTCATGAGAAGTTACTTAAGAGCAACTTCTCCTAAAGGAAAAACTTAAGTTTTTATTTGAAGAATAATTTCTTTTTCCTCCCTAAGATTTTTCATCTGGTTTCCACGTATGGAGTTTAGTTCATTTAAGTTTCAAGAATGATTACCGCTCATTTTTTCCTGATGCATGGGACATTCTGAAGGTGGAGACGCCGTCTGGTACTGCCTGGATGCATCTGGCGACTGACCTGCAGCAGCTGGGGAGGATGCAGATAAACCCATGGCTCCCACACACCGGGCCTTCTTACATCAAGTTCCTAAAGAAAAAAGAAGCAAACATTCATAATACAAAAGCACACCTTATTTATGAAGGCGAACGCAAGCGCAGATACAGTGCTGCATCACAAATCAAAAAATTAATTACGAAATTGGTTTAAGTAACAAGCTTCCAGCCCAAATAAAACCCCAAGGGTCTATCAAGGCCGACCTTCAGCTCCCTCCCAAGCCCCTCCTCGCAGGCACTGGCGCGGGGGGCTCTGCCCGTGTCACACGCCCGTGCGGAGCAGCCGCGCCTCCCGTAACCCGCCACACTCCGTGACCGACCCCCAAGGTCAGGTCAGGCCCGCCCGCAGCGCGGCCCGCCCGCAGCGCCCGCCTCCCGCCGCCGCGGACTCCAGAGCTGCCGCCGCCTCCACCACCGCCGCATCCGCATCCTCATCCTCCTCCTGCTCCTTCTCCACCTCACCTCAGCCCTGCCGGCACAGCCCGGCCCGCGCCTCCGCGCCGGCCCCAGCGCCTCGCGAGAACGGGCACCCGCTACACGCCTGCGCGGGGCCTCACCCGCCGCCGCTACGGCGAGGGGCGGGCCCGGGGACGGCGGGGCGGGCCGCTCCGCCGGGGCTCAGGGAGCGGGGACGGCGGCGCTGGGCGTTCGCAGCGAGGCTTGTCTCCCGTTCAGCGCACAGATGCCAAGGCACTGCCGCCCGGGGAGGGCGCAGGGGAGCCCGCGGCCGCTGGGCCCGGCCGTGCCACGCCGAGGTGCACAAAGGCTGGTTCTGACCTTGCCGACGACAGCGAACTATGCGAACCGGGACGCGCGTTAATCCTCGTGCAGCGGCGTCCCGCGAGTTGTATGTGCTCTTACCTCGTGCTGTGAAATCGTTATCCCTTACAACTGCAAATTGCTACTGCTAGTACCACTGAATGTAGTAGCAGCACATATCGCTACTGTATAGGTGCATCCTTTCTAGTATTAAATTTACGGAGATAGTAAAGTTCCTTAAAATGATTTTTAAACATCAAAAGCATCACAGCTCTTTTAAAATTTCCTAAGAATATTGCCTTATTTCAAGTCAGAAGATGCAGTTTAACTACATACAGGAAATACCGTGCATAACACACAAACGATGAAGCTCACTGTGCATCAGACCAAGGAAGACTTACCTCCATCCCATCCCTTTTGACCAACAGGTGATAACACCTGGCTATACTGTAACAGTGAGCACAGATTCCACCGGGCCAGTTTCAATGTTCATCCCACAGCATGAACTCTAAAGAGGCTGTCAGGTGCAAAAAGCAGGTGGGGAGATGAGAAACATTCATTATAAACATGCAACAATTAGAACTGATTAGAAAAATACTGTTTCCCCAAATATTCTATTTCATTTTAACAATTAAAGTAGAAAGGAATTTAATCTTCAAGTGGAACAGTTATTACAGTAAGTTAGGATGAAAAAAATCCAAATTCAAATCTGGAGGAGAGGTCACTTACATTCTCTGAATGTAGAGACAGAAATGAGTGATTCTCTGTCATTTCTTTTGGAAAAGATCAGAAGGATTAATAGACAAATTCTAAACCACACTGAAGCAGTTCTAACCAGCACTGTTTCAAACCATTTTACTACCCGAATTAAAAAACTTCTTTTATACATTCTTCTCAAGAGTGCTGTTAAGATCATGTTCACATAGTCTTTCAAAATAGGATCTTTCTTATTAACGAGGACATTGCCATTCAGTGTGAACATGAAATAAAAATACAAGGATAAAGCAATATCAAATATTCATCCTTTTAGTCATTTTTTTGCCCTTTTATAGTCTTGATTACTTAGGAGGAAATTGCTTTCTACCCTTTCTGCATGTAGGAATTATTAGCACAGCATATGGAGAACCTCAAGATAGAAAAAAGAGGCATCATGGCAGTAATTGAGTCTCTATTATATGCCTTAGAAAACATTCTGATTGCCTCCATCATTTCCACAATTTAGGCTTCGCTGCAGACTCTAAGACCACATTCACAGTAACAGCTGGATAAGCTGTAGAATAATTTTAAGTCTTCACTGGCTGCACTTACAGAATCACAGAACAGTTTGGGTTGGAAGGGACCTTGAAGCTTACATCCCCTGCCATGGACAGAGACCTTCCCCTAAACCAGGCTGCTCAAACCACCCCCCCAACCTGGCCTTCAACAAGGGCATCCACAGCTTCTCTGGGCAACCTGTTCAAGGGCCTCACCACCCTCATAGTGAAGAATTTCTTCCTAGTATCCAATCTAAACCTGCCCTCATTCACTTTCAAGCCATTCCCCCTGGTCCTATCACTACATGCCCTTATAAAAAGTCCCTTTCCAGCTCTCTTGTAGCCCCTTTAGGTGCTGGAAGGGGCTCTAAGGTGTCTAAGAGAGCCTTCTCTTCTCCAGGCTGAACAACCGCAAGTCTCTCAGCCTGTCTTCACTTAACAACACAATTTAATAAGATCCTCCCATAGACCAACTGACATCTCTGCTCCTATATATTCCAAGTAAGTGGCAGAAGGACTCTAAGGTAAACCAGATTTTCTCTCTCTGATGTTCTCAAACAGGGAATTGGTTCTACTCTCTCTTCTCAAAGTACATAATGCTGTTGATGTCGATGTGCCATCTCCCTGCTTTTCACCATCACACTCCACCAGAAGCAACAACTGCAATATTAGTCATTGTATAGATAATAGTTTTCACCCTCTGTAAGATAAGCCAAGTAGCAAATACTTTTTTTACTCCATGTAAAGCATTACAAAGAACACCAAGGTCACAATGTCAACAAAGCACACAATCTACCCTTAGGTATACTGCACTGTGAACTCCACAAAAGCAGAGCAAAAGATAAAACAGTAGTCCATCATCTAAAAAATGAGATGTCCATTGTGAAAATTAAATAAAAAAATTTTAAAAACCTATTGCAGAGTTATCACACCAATATGAGGAGAGAAAAAGTTTTTAGCAAGAACACAGAGAGTAATAAAAAAAATTTGGGAGGAAATGGAGAGCAACTTCGCATCAGAGTATGACAAAGAAGTGGATATACAAAATACTTTCTATATCCTACATCTTAAGGCGGTATAATGTTTCTCACACTTTAAACAAGACTTGTTGAATGTATCAGGTTAAGAACGGCTCACTGAAAGGCATCCCTGGTTCCCAGCCATGCTCAGTCCTTCCTCTCCACCATTCAGTGTTAAAAGCTGCCCAATGCCAATACAAAAGCCTCCTACCAAGCCCCCATTGTCTTTCCTCAAGCAGTTGGAAATCTGACCTATATAGCATCTGACCCCAAAGAATATCCGTTCCCAGACGTTCACACTCACTTCCAAACAGAATAACGAGTTAATGAGTAATTTTCTACACTAACAATGTAAAATTAGTACCCTAAGAATAATCTACATATGCAACTAAATACCTCTCAAAAGATGAGAGGGGAAAAAAAAGGAAAACACCTCACTGCTTTGTGTTTTCTTCTAGTAATTTAACCATTGCATAACACAAAAGAAAACCCACAGTAACATGAGTAATTCCTGTGCTTGGAAGCCAGCTGTTAAGATATAAAACAGCAGCAACTTCCTGCGAGGATGCTCAGAGAAACCCCTGAGTTTTACCACACAATTCATGCTTCCTAGGCATACATTCACTGCACATACACAATGTAGGAATTGCCATATTGAGGAACATAATTGCCCGTCTTAGTATTCAGTAAGGGACTGTGTAGTGCATCATATTTATAATACACTGCCAACAGCAGCTCTTTTTCCCCGGAGCCTTCAGACAGCTGTCCAGCTTATGTCCTGAAACATGCAGTATTATAAGACGGTGCAATATAATTATACTATCCAACATAGAAGTTCTTCCCCAATACACAAGAGAATTTATTGTTTAACTTACACTCCTGGCCCCAGTGATGTTCTACATAGAATTTCAGCCTTGAAAAGTCCAGCCACCTGAGCAACTCCCATCTCCACCTTTTTTTAAATAAAAAAGATACAGTATGAAATCTCAAGATACCATATAAGCCAGTTGTTATGGAACTGAACCCAAAGAAAATTGTTCTTTCATGATGCATTCATTATAGGTACATAAGCTATTGCCATATAAGAAAGAAAACTTCACAAAATAAGAAACTGTGTTCCTTTCCTTTATTATGAAGTACCAATACCTTGCATACAACATGCAATTTATTGCTTATTGACATTATTGCATATATCAAAGGGAAAAAAAAATCAGGCAATATCATTTTATGCAAGCTCCTAAACTGTTCAAACAAATATAGAAATGCCTTACAGTATCACTGAAATGCAAACAAATAATTCAGATTCTTTCTTGTAATAAAAAGTAAATTTAAACCCACAATACTTAATCATTTGCCTTACTACGACTGATTACATTTATCACCAATCTGCAGAATTGTTATATTGCATTTTCAAGTTCTTGTGCCATGATAAGGATTGCTACTACAATCAGGTCACATTACTAGTTGAATTCAATAATGTGGTCCTGACACTTTGTGATAGTATTAGTATTTACTGCAAATCAGATTGTCAAGATTTACCAGAAATCAGTCTAGCAGAATCTATGGTTTTCGTCCTTGCTCTGCACATAAGTTAGATATATTTATCAAGTTTCTTCTTAGATAGAAGGTATAAATATTTTTGAATTACAGGCTCCATTACTTATGCTTAACTTTTGTTCCCAACAGGTTTTGTAATTTGGTTTTATAACAGGTTAGCTGTGCTTACAGGTTAAATTATTCTACACGTATAGGTATCTGTCAATATTAAAGAAAACACTGTTTGACATATGCATGCTAGAAACAAATCCAGGATATTTGGATGTGTGCATATTAAATGTGCAAATTATATAGCCGAGCTCATGATTAGCCCTTTTCCTCCCTTCCCCCTATCATTTGATGGATTTCTCTTGTGAAACTGGAATAGGATTACAATAAACAAAACCAATATATGCCACATTGCATTCAAAATGTTGTGTTCTGTATTACAGCTTAGTATTAATATTTAAATGTTGCTTTCAAACTTAGCAAATTTTTAAAAATACCAAAATTTAAAAACTTAGAAGACAATTTACATGCAACATGTTCCACTTGGGTGCAGATTCTCATATACTTAAATATTTATAGGCTCATAAAAGCATGTCCTGTCCACAAGACAAGTACAATGTTTGACATCCCACACATAGATTAAAAATAAAGATACAATACAGAATATTTTATTTGCTTTTATATTTTCAATTTCAGTAGGTAGGAAGTTATAAATAGCACACTGAATCATTATATGGTTGATAACAAGCCATGCTGAACTCTTCATAATTCACTCTTTTAGACACATTTCTTTTATATTACAACTAGGTTAAAAATGTATGTACTTTTTTTATAAACGGATGGCCTCAGTGCAGGACATCACACAATGAAACTGTTCTCAGAAGAAACTTTGCCAAAATATTTCTTATACCAAATGATACAATTTATTTCTCATAGCTACCTTCCATTCATTCTTTACTGAGC